TTATATTTTTTCACCTATTTCACCGATCTGAAATCTGACCATTTCTGTGGAGCTTTCACTTTAATTTGATATATAACTCAATTCTGTAGATACTCCAGATCGCCCTATCTAAGTCGTACAACTGAGCGATTATATATAGATACGTTGAGAATGAGTCAATAAAATGTTTAAACGCTTATATTTTAGCACCTACTTCACCGATTTTGAATCTGACAATTTTTAGATAACCTATGGAGCTTTCACTTTAATTTGATATATAACCCAATTCTGTAGTTGCTCCAGATCGCCCTTACTAAGTCGTATGACTGAGCAATTATATATAGAAGCGTTGAGAATGAGTCAAGAAAATATTTAAACGCTAAAATTTTGTCACCTGCTTCACCGATTTGAAATGTGACAATTTTTGGATAACCTAAGGGGCTTGCACTTTAATCTCTATATATAAATGTGGAAGCCAGTCTGTGCGGGGCCGGATTTTCAGAGATTATACCTTGCGTATATGGTCCTATTATAGGGTACTTGAAAACTCGATAGATGGCGCCGGGGTCGAGTTATTTATAAAAATCTTATTTATCAATCCATTTCATTCAAATTAAAACCGTGTGCTACTCCATGATGAGAAATACGTATGCGCAAAATGTACCCGCTAGGTGGCGCTGGAGTTATTTGTAAAAATCGTACTTATGAACCGATTTATTTCAAATTCACAAGGTATACTACCAGCATGATGGAAAAGTCGTATTTATGAAACGATTTCGTTCAAATTCAAAATGTAAGCTACTTGCACGATGAAATTGGGCGTGCGGCCGTTATTACAGGAGTAAGACTCAAAGAAACCAGTTCATAAATATTAAAACGAATTGTAAAAGTGCGGAATTGACAAGGAAAGGTTCGACCACATCCGTCCAAGAAGGAACATGGTAAGTATATCAATCAACGATATTCAAGAGATCACACGACTCATTTAGCCAATGTACCGGAAAACTTTTCATCCTGTGGAACTGCGAGGATTCTTGGCCCTCCTATAATTGAAAAAACCCATATGTGATCTGGAGTTACCTTACAAGGACTTTTATTGGCTTATGTGGTACATCGGACTAATGCTTAAGTAGCAAGATCATAGAAGAATATTACGCACGCTCGGCAGAGATCTCACAGGTGAAAATAAGACCATCGATAAAGCTGATGACATCGAAAGGGATTAGTATTCCATATGGTATCACAGCGCTACTATTCTTGGCCTATGTTTGAGGAGGTAGATTTGGAAAACTGTCAATAATGTATACATTCGATAGTTTCGATAGTGATAGTACAAGATATTCGATACCATCGAAAATTTTCTAACATATGTATATTGACTTACACTGCTAGTACCTGGTTTCTCCAATCTGTTTTAAGATTTATCAAACTTAGTATTTAGAATAGTTAAATTCCTAAAAAAAGTGTGTTATTTCAAATTATAAGAGTTTGACAAATTTAAAATTGTAAATAGGCAAATTGGATTACACCTTTTATGGCTAATAAGGCCAAAGAGAATTCGCAAGTGATATTGTGGTATTTTACCGCGAGCGCCAAGAAAAAGCTTATTTAACCCAAAACGAATTCAATATTTATTTTTGCACTAGTCACTTCTTTTTTGTAGACTAATCTAGAACTTAGCTATACACACTTTTTAGAAACAGTTATTGGAGATTACTAACAGGGTTGCTTTGAAGAGTATGTTGTATTAAACTTAAACTAAGGGAATATGAACTTTAAGAACTTAAGCAAGAACATTTAGTGTTGTGAACGCCACAATACTCCCCCGCTAGTGGCGAAGCTATCGAAATCGTACTGGCAACCGCACTATTCTACCGGACCTCGTTGTTTTCGCATTGCTGTCTGCTGGTAATACAGGCGAGTTTGAGCCGGTGGCAACGCCGCTCGTGTTATCTTCTTTTTATTTTGTTCGCTCATTCGCTATCGCTGGGGGTGTTTGTAATTGGTCGCTGTCGCAGAGAAAGCCGCTTTCAATCTGTCAATCGCAATGTTGACCGTTCAGTGAAACATCTTTATCTTGTAGTATTTTTCACCACGCTCAACCACCTCAAATGGACCTTCGTAGGATGCTTCCAGCGGTGATTTTACGCGATCTACGCGTACAAAAACGAATGCTGCTTCCTTAAACTCGGTCTGCACAAAAGTTGCTGGTGTGATGTGATGTGACGTAGGCGCAGGTCGCAGCGCTTGCATTGCCGTGCGCAACTTTTCAGCAAACTCCACTTCGCTGGTGCTACGAGTTGATGACTGTAAAAGCTCGCCCGGTAATCTGATTGGCGCACCGGATACCACATCTGTTGCGCTGGCACCTATGTCTTCTTTTGTCGTGGAGCGCAACCCGAGTAGCACCAGTGGTAGAACGAAACTCCAATCGTTCGAAGCGTAGCACTTGATGGCTGATTTTAATGTTCGATGCCAGCGCTCAATAACGCCGTTGGACTGGGGGTGATACGCTGTCGTCCGCAAGTGCTTTACGCCAAGCATTTGTGTGAGTTCTTTAAAGAGCGCCGATTCGAACTGCCGGCCTAAGTCAGTTGTTATACGCAGCGGCACACCATATTTAGCAATCCATCCACTAACGAGACCAAAGGCGACGCATTCTGCTGTGATTTCTGCTAGCGGGATCGCTACCGGCCACCTCGAAAAAACGGTCGATGCACGTCAAGCAATAGCGGTTGCCTCGAGAAGTTGGCAGCGGCCCGACGATATCAAGGTTAATGTGCTCAAAACGCTTGCTCGGTGGTACATAGGTGTGTAGAGGTGCGTTACTGTGGCGGTGAACTTTCACCTTTTGGCAGGGCATACAGCAGCGCACGAAACTCGCAACGTCCTTCGCCATTCCTGGCCAAATGTGTCGTTGTGCTACTAACTTTTGTGTTGCCTTTACGCCTGGGTGCGCTAAATTATGCAGCGCAGCGATTACCTGCTGACGACAAGGTTTGGGTACGTACAGGCGAAGGATATCATGTACAATGTCACAATAAATCGATGACGTTGAATCTGGAATAACAAACTTTTTTAGTAGTAGTGTGTTCTTTTCTCCTTCTGCGTCTAAAAGTGCTTGAAGCTCGCTGTCGTTCTTCTGTGCTGCAGAAATGGCATTAAAATCAGCAGAATGCCGGGTGATGACAGTTTGTATGCGGGAGAGTAAATCAGCTATATTGTTATATTTACCTGGCATGTGCCTTATGTCGTTGGTAAGTTTACTTATAAAGTCAAGCTGGTGTACGCGCCGCGGTGACGCTTTTTCGCTTTTTTTGAACAAATTCATATGGTGACACGTAATAAGGTCAAGGGAAATAAGGTCAATTGACTTTATTTCCCACCCTGGTGCGAAATAAAGTCAATTGACATTATTACCTTTTCAAAAGCGAAATAAAATCAACAGAAATTTGGAAATAAAGTCATTGACGCTATTTCCTCATTCAAATGGAAATAGCGTCAACAATGCTTAAAGTATGTCGATTCATAGAAAAAAATGTTGTTCTTACAATAAACATTGCCCCGTAAGTGTTGTTTTTTAATAGATGAAAAAGGTTATTGCCAAATCCTCAGTGTTGTGATATTAAAATCTACACACAATCATGAACTACCACCAATTGATTTTATTAAAAAAATTTAAATTACGAATATGTAAAAACACGATGCGAAAACTAAACACCTGCGCACAGCTGGAATACGAGAAATATTTGAAGAAATAATGTAGAAATGATCCATAACTTGCAAAACATTTTTCGTTTCCACAAAAATAAAGCGAACTTTATTAAATTGATGAAACAGTCCATGTCCAAAAACCCCGGAGGAACACTGAAAGAATTCTGTGTTTTAAATTAGCATATTTTGAACGAATTCGGAATGGCTAAGGTGGAAAAGAAACCAACCTTTCTATAAGGAAACAATTATAGAAAAACAATTTTCTTACACTATATTCATGTCTACGCCAGCAATTTGTGACGACATCATTTAAAAGCAGCTAAGGAGAATGACGACACTAGATGGCACATTCAACGAGCCAATGTGCCAAAATGCGAGTATAAACAATTATTGATTATTTAATATCGGAACCGAGATCATATAAGTTAATAGATTGGTTTTCACACACTTTTGAAACACAAATTATATGCTTTTTTACTGCAGACAAGTTGTTGCCCCAAAACACAGCAGAAATCTTCCAATCAGGCCTGCCAACTATCTTTAGTTATGAGGTGCAATACTGAGGATAAAAAAGTGCCAAAATGTGCCAAATAGAAAAATAAAAGTGCCAAAAAAAGGTGGCATTCCTTTTAATCATTCACATTTAGCAATAAAATAAAGCTACATTTTCCAAACAAAAGTTTAATGATAAAATAAGACAAACCAGTTTATAAATTACAAAATTTTAGTTGAGAAAAAGAAGTGCACGCACATTTTTTTTACAAAAGTGCCATTTGAAGTAAAATAAGGACAAATGGCACGGTTTGAGCCAAGTTGGCATCCCTGTTTCTAATAACTTACAAATATAAAAATTTGAAATATCGAGGGCTTGAATTCATTAATACCCTCTATCTGCAATTTGCACAAATACTAATTTGTGATTCTAGAAACCATCTGGGACTTATTACCTGTCGTTATATAAGGTAGCATTAATATCACTGATGACGGTTAACGCTTAGGTGGATTTTTATATCAGAATCTAATCTTTGTGAAAAGTGTGCAGATAGAGGGTATTATTGAATATAAGCCCTCGATGTTTAAAATATATAAAAATTTTATTTCAATGTATAAAAAAACTAAATCTACCTGCGATACAGCACGGCGGGAAACGGGGAAGGGGGCCGGGGGGCCGCGGCGTAGCGTGACGTGGTGTGCGCGCCGGTCACGCGGGGTACGCGGGACGCGAGCGCGGCGCGCGCGGTGTGGCGCGCTGACGCGGGCCGCCGCGAAGCTAAGCAAATTTAATGTTTGAAAGAGAAATAATGTCAATAGATTTTATTTCGTTTTTAAAAAGGTAATAATGTCAATTGACTTTATTTCGCACCAGGGTGGGAAATAAAGTCAATTGACCTTATTTCCGTTGATCTTATTACCTGTCACCATTCATATATTAGAGGCTTGTGGTCTGTCAACACCACAAACTCTCTGCCTTCGGGGGTATGCACGAAATGCTTAACTGCCAGTTAAACTGCAGTGAGCTTGCTGTCGTAGGGTCAATAATTTTTTTGGCGCTAGTTAACCGTTTTGAATAAAATCCCAACGGTTGGACTTCGTTGTTCACTATTTGATGCAAAACGGCTCCAACTGCCTCGTTTGAAGCGTCAACGCTAAGCGCCAACGGGGCGTTTGGGGCCAAGTATTTTAAAAGCGTAGCATGCCTTGAACGCTTCGACGGCATCGCTCGTCTATTTTATGAGTGTCGCATCGTTTCTTTTATTGCCGTCGATTAGTGATTCAGCTTGCTTTGATTCATCGTAGCATTGCGTAGAAAAGTTCGGTAGAAATTCATCATACCCAAGAATTTTTGAAGCTCTCGGGCTGTAGTCGGCTGTTGAAAATCTCGAATTATCGCTACTTTTTCTTCTGGCGGTTTAAGTCCTGCGCTTATTATTGTATGTCCCAAAAAATTTATTTGAGCTTTTGCTAATTGACATTTATCAACATTAATTGTTAAATTGTGTTGGCGAAGGCGCCCGAATACCGTTCGCAGATGGTTTTCGTGTTCTTCCATAGACGAGGAGGCGACCAAAATGTCATCGCTGTCAGCAAACGCAAAGTCGATGCCACGTAGAACTTCGTGAATATGCCTTTGAAACGTTTGGGCGGCATTTCTTAGCCCAAACGTCATGTACTGAAATTCGTATAACCCAAAGGGTGTCGTTATCGCCGTTTTAGGGATATCGCATGGTTCGATGGGTATCTGGTGATACGCCCGTTGCAAGTCGGCACGCTTTTTAAATCTCATAAGTTGTTTATAATGACTTTTGCTAAAATTTCTAAATAAAAAGTTATCAAAACAAGTTCTTTGGGACTGAGAAATACTATTTTCTAATTTTAGTCGATTTATAAAAGCGTGGTACATTAAAAAGTTTTTTTTTTAAATTCATTTTATACTTTTTAGTCTTGTCTGTATAAAATTTTGGAATAGATACTAAAATAATTCAACTTTCAGTGAAAAGAGAACAGAAGACTATGCAAGCAAAATGTTGTTTGCTCACATTTATTATATGCCTACATATGCACATACATACATATAGCAGCAATTAATTTCATTTAAAGAAATGGCGT